TGCCTCCCCCACACTCTCAGACAGTACATTCCAGACCCTAACCCCTCACTGGGTGAGAAATTATTCCTCATGAAATTGTTGCTTCATCAGCAAATCATGTTCTGCCTATGCTCTCTGGCTCCTGATCTTTCCACCAATAGGCATGGTCCCTCCCTATCTCTTCTGTCTAGACCTCTCCTGGTTTTGAAGACCTCAATCAATTCTCATCCCTGCAAAGAGAGCAGGCCTGACTTCTCTGATCCACCTTTTGGATGTTCTGGGGGACTAGATGGGCTTCGATTGAGGGAGTGGGGTGCATGAGGAAGGGGCATGCAGACTGTTTCAGAGATAGAGGAGGGGTGAGGGGGTTAAGTGTAAGAATGGCACTGACCCATCTCCTCCCTTTCGATCACCTCAAAGCAGCACCAGTTGTCTTTCTCCTTGGTAATGAGTTTCCGCAGGTACAGAATCTCATCAGTCAGCTCCTGGGCTGTCATCGTCGCAGGAACCTGTTGTGGGGGGGAGGAGGAGAGAGTTAAGGAGCAGGATATACACAAGCGCATACACAAGCGCACACACACGCGCACGCGCGCACGCACATGCACGTGTACACATGCGCCCGCGCACACACACACACACACACACCTGCACACACATGCGCCCACACACACATACACGTACGTGTACACATGCACCCGCACACGCACGCATACACGTACGTGTACACACACGTACGTGTACACACACGGCTGCACACACACACATACACATACACGTATGTGTACACACGCACCCGCACACACACACATAGCAGCACGCACACACACATACACACACACAGCGCGCGCACACACACACATACGCTCTTGTGCGCACACACATTCTCCATAGGGTCAGTGCCCCACACACCTCCCCTCAGTCCCCTCGTCCCTCCTGGGGTTTGGAATCCGAATCCCAGTGACAGGCAGCTGTTCCCAATCCCCGAACTCCAACACTGAGGAACAATCATTGCTGAGATGGGCTGGGGGCGAGGATTAGGCCTCACGGAAGCTGGATCGCAGTCACTATGACAACCACCAGGGTTACAGAGTGTTCTTCGGCTGATTTTGTCGGGGGGTGGGGGGTGGTTTGGAGATGATGGCACCAGGACAACGTCACAGGGCTCTCTATCCCGTGACCTACAGGTTCAAATCACGCCACTGCAACCCGTGACATTTAAATTCAATTAACAAATCTGGAATTAAAATCTCATCTCAGTGAGGGTGACCGTGAAACTATTATCAATTGCTGTAAAAGTCCATCTGGTTCACGAGTGTTCTTTCAGGAAGAAAATCTGCTCGAAATGTGATTGCAGACCCACAGCGACGACCATCTGGGCAATCGGGGATGGGCAATAAATCGCTGGGCCGGTATTTATGGATAATTAATTTAAAAAAATAAACGCCCACAACAATGTGGTTGACTCTTAAGTGCCCTCTGAAATAGCCAAGCCAGTCAGTCAGTTCAAGGGGCAATTAGGGACAGGCAACACATGCTGATCTCGAAAAGATAAAGGAAAAACTCTGCCTGGATCAATCACACGACATGCCTGTAAATCCCAACCCCATAACCTTCCCATTGGTCTCCTACTTCCCTCTCCACCATCTAATCACAAGGTAAGAGTCCTCCTTGTGACCTGATTGGCTGACTCACAGTCAGCTGTTTTACCAGATCATTTGAGAGGGACCAACTTAGTCAAGAACCACCCAGTCCTTGTCCTGAAGACTCTGTTCGCTTTCCGATTGGCTGGGATAAACAGGGATAGAGAGTGGACCAATAGCAACAATGCGCAGAGTGGAGGTGGATGGCAACTGGACATCATGTGACAAGACCTCTAGGAAAATGTCCAATCAGAGTTGAGCCTCCCAAGCATGGTGTCTTTTAAGACCTTGATTGCAAAAGCATCTGCCCGAAAACAAACTGAAAATGAAATCAACTGCAGACAGGTTTATTCCTGGGGGAAAGAACTTTAAATATTACTCCAGGGGCCCTGTTAAACCCTTTCCTCATCTCTCGGTTCGTTCATTTAAAAGCCTTCAAACTGCATGCAGCCACACATACATTACTCTGTTGGTGTTATAACTGAGTATGTATCCATCCCTTCTCCTCAACAGTTCATAACATTTTAACTTTAACTAGGTTGGTGATATGGCCGAGTGCACAAGACCACAGACTGTAACTGGTTCGTAACAAGCCAGCTATAGTTAATTTAGTCTAAGAACAACAAGTTTTCTACAAATAAAAGGTACTTAAACCAACTTGCAAAGATTATTTATATCAAATAAAAAGGTTTAGACATGCAAAGAGAGATACAACTCATACTCTAACAACCTGAATTAACATGAGGCAAATGTGGATAACATACAAACACTCCACAAAAACATAAAACAGCTATTGTGCATGAGACAACTCTCACAATTGTTCACCGAGCACCCCCAGATCCGAGTGACACTGTGGGATACCACATCTCGTTAACATTTTGTACTGGGTTACCATTATTCACTTTTCACGACCTACCTTTGAAACTCCCTCATGAGCTGCCTTGCCATGGCCTGCTTTAATAGCTGCTCATATTCCCCAGTTTGCCTTCCTCTCCTGAGGGTACACTCCAAGTACGTTACAGGTACAACACTAGCTTTATCAAGCCAAGTTGCAACAAGCAAAATGGCTCATGGGCTTTCAGCCATCACTCTCAACTCTACTTAACAAATAATTATACACAGACTCTTTGGAGCTCTACTTTGAGTACTTAGCCGCCTGCTAACTCCTTAAATTCTTCCTGAGGTCTGACTACACAGAACTATCGAACTGTTCTTCCTCCTCACTGAGATCCAACTACACAGAGCGGTTCTGATGTGGTTCCATCGCCATTTTGTGAATGAAGTTGACTTCTGCCTCTCTCTGGCTCCTGACCCAAATTGATTATGGTGCTGGTAACATTCTTTTGGTGATCTCTGAATTATTTTCAGTGACCTTACATCAAACCCCATCTCTATTGCTCGGCCAGACCAAACATAACAACCAGCAGAAACACACACACACGGGGACACACGCAAGGACACATACACACAGTCTATTCTTTCAGGTCTCACCTCAAACAGAGAAACAAGTTGAACTGTTTCTTCCCGACTCACCTTCAAGCTAAGCTCACAGTCTGATTTCTTCTCCTCCAAGTACACTGTGCAGATAAAGTCCCCAGCATTCTACATGGGAGAGAGGACAGCAATGTGTTCACACGGTCTTATAACCTTTCAGAGTCCAGCCCTTCCCTCTCATTCTGAGCCTACAGGAACATCTCACTGTACAATTACATTTCTATTCATCCATGTAATGTGAGCAAGACAGACTAGGACAGAATTCCCTGAGCTTATGGAAGGTGGTGACATAAGTGTCTAATATCACTGGACATCATCATCCTGAACCCCAAGCTAATGTCCTAGGGACATAGGTTAAAATCTCAACATAGCAGATGGTGAAATTTAGATTCAATAATAAAATAAAATCTGGAATTTAAAACATGACTAAACAATGACAATGCAAACATTGGTAATTGTCATAAAAGCCTATATGTTTCACTAATGTCCTTTTGGGAAGGAAACTGCCATCCTTACCTGGTCTGGCCTACATGTGACTCCAGACCCACAGCAACGTGGGTGATTGTTAACTACCCTCTGGGGCAATTAGGGATGGGCAATAAGTGCTGGCCTGGTTGATGACATTGACATTCCATGAACAAATTAATAAAAAAATACAAAATAGAAGCAGGGGTAGGCCATTCGGCCCCTCGAGTCTGATCCAATATTCAGTAAGATTGTGGCTGATTTGTTTGTGTTACAGCTTCCGCGTTGCCAGCTATCCTGCTGACCCTCGACTCCCCCTGCCCAACAAGAATCTCCTCCCCTCCTCCTTGAAAATACTCAATGAAACCTGCGTTCTGAGGCAGAGGGTCACACTACTGAGTTGAAAGCAGGAATTAATGATGTGATATGTGAAACCTGCTCCTTTATAAATGGATCCCGTTTTCACTAGGCCATAGGGTCGCTCAAGAGAGGTAACAGGTAGTGGTTTAACCTGAGGGTCACCACACGAGAGATTGGGAAGGAGAGTCCTTTATGGTAACCTCAGACAGTGTGGGAATGGAACCCATGCTGTATGCATCACTCTGCACCATAAAGCAGCTGTGCAGCCAACTGAGCTAAAGCAGTGCCAACAGTTCGGGTTCAATTCCACACCAGCTGAGGTTAAACCATCTCTGTCCCTCTGTCCCTCCATCTAATGAGAGAGCAGCCCTACGACCCTCTGGGACAAAAGCAACTTTACCCTTTACCTCAGCATTATTATTACTCCAGGAACCAAAAACAGAAGCTGCTGGAAAACCTGGCTGGACTCTGAGGATGGGTCACCGGACCCGAAACGTTAACTCTGATTTTTTCCTTCACAGATGCAGTCAGACCTGTTGAGCTTTTCCAGCAACTTTTTGTTCCTGATTTGCAGCATCTGAAGTTCTTTCGGTTTTTAATTAGGTGCCCACATGTCTGGGCTAAAACTAAGCAGTTCAGAAGCATACCTTCCCTCAGACAGTCATGCTGCAAGTGACCTCCATGAGATGGAGACTGAGACCTCTACACCATGAGGTCAGTTGCCAGGATACAGTGAGGACATTATTAAAGGAACGTCATGTACTAGCTGTAAGACTAAACATAATTATAGGGGATTCATGGTCTTTTTAGGGCCTTGAGACTAACAGATTTTTTTAGCCTCGAACAAACCAGTTTGCAGTTTGTAGTTCTCAGGAAGGGTCACTGGGCCCGAAGCATTAATTCTGTTTCTCTCCACAGAAGCTGCCAGACCTGCTGAGATTTTGGAGCAATGTTTCTTTCTGTTTCTAGTTTCCAGCACCCAGCTAGTTTTCAGCTTGTTTCTGGGTATTGCAGTCCATTTTACAGTAAACTGGTTCATGTTAACACAGTGTGGAGCTGGAGGAACTCAGGACCTCAGCGTTCCTGCTCTTCTGATGCTGCCTGACCTGCTGTGTTCCTCTAGCTCCACACTGTTATCTCTGACTCCAGCATCTGCAGTTCTTACTATCACTGGTTCGTGTGGGGAGTTTTGCGACTGTAGTATTGAGGTCAATTTGGATGTCGTGTTGAAAATGGAACTGATCAATATTGCTGCAGTGCCTCTCAGAGTGTGCTGTTTTCCACAGTGCTCCGAGATTGACTGCCTGTAACCTTGGAATGACGCACAGGGAATGCTGGAGGCTTCGAGAGAGGCTGACAGGTTTGTTCCCCTCACAGGTAACTGGGAAGATAAGGAATAACTCAGCCTACCTGGCTGGATTGCACCAAGCACGCGTCCCGCAGTTTAATGATGCTGACAATTTCATCAAGTTGCTTCTTAAGCTGCAGTTCATCCACCTGCAGAGGCAAAACAGAGAGAGCTCACAGACACCTTCACAATGCAGCAGGCCATTCGGCCCATTGTATCAGTGACAGCTCTGCGAACAAGCACCTGCTAGCATATTCCCACCTTCTCCCTATAAATCTGCTCACTGTCCCTTCACAAATCACTGCCTAACTCCCTTTGAAATTCCTCAGCTGAACCTTACACATTTCAATCCAGTCACCCCTCACTGTTCTAAACTCCAGTGGGAACAAGCCGAGTCTGTATAAACATTCCTCATAAAACAACCCACTGACCCAGGTATCAATCCAGTAAACCTGCTCTGAGCTACTTCCCAATGTATTTATGTCCTTCCTGAATGTTAAAGGTTCCCTTAACATAAATCACAAATCTCTATACAATGTTTCTTCGCTGAGTATTCTGAAATATCCCCTTAAATTCTCTCTCTCGCGTAGAATCCCTGTTCATTTCCAGCTCATTTAGCTTTTATGGTCGCACAGTTGTTCTTATTTAAGTTGAAACCACTATTCTACACCCACACGTCTCCCTTCCAAACTGGGTGTGAAATTCAATCGTATCAAATCAGCCTGATTCTACCAGATTCCCACTGAGGTGTATTCCCAAATCCATCAGGCTCCCACTGAGGTGTATTCCCAAATCCACCAAGCTCCCACTGAGAT